GATCCTACCCCTCTACTCAGGAAGTTCAGTCTGAACATGAGGGAATAACTCCTTTACTGTGAGGGTGACAGAGCACTGGAGCAAGTTGCCTAGAGAGGTTTTGGAGTCTCCATCCTTGTAGATATTTAGAACCCATCTGGACAGAGTCCTGGGCAGCGTGCTCTAGGTGACCCTGCTTGAGTAGGGCAGTTGGACTAGGTGATCTCCAGAGGTTCCTTCCAGCGTAACTGATCTATGATCCCTGACTTGATCCTTGTCCACTGCTGGTAGTTCTAACTCTTTCACTAAGCATAGAGGCATGGGAAACTTTGTTGGTGAAGACTAAGGCAAAGAAGGCGTTGAATAATTCAGCCTTTTGTGTCTCTGCTGTCAGTAAATCACCTGCCCTATTCAGCGGTGGACCTACATTTTCCTTGTTCTGTCTTTTACTACTGATGTAGCAAAAGAAGCTTTTATTGCCCTTAATATGGCTTGTAAGTCACAAATCTGGGCTTTGGCTTTGCTAACACCGTCCCTAATTGCCAGAGCAAAGTTTCTAAATTCCTCTTTTGTAGCTTGTCCCTGCTTTTACCTCCTATATTCTGCCTTTTTGCATTGGAGCTCCATCCTGAGTTCCCTGCTTAGTCATTTACTAAAACATTTACAAAACGTTTACTTGTTTTCCTGAGCGTTGGTTTGGACTGCTCTTGCACTTTGAGGATGCCATCTTTAAAGACTGCCAGCTTTCTTCAGCTCCTTTGACTTTCACGGCTGCTTCCCGTGGGTTCTCACCTGCCAGTTTCCTGAATACACCAACATCTCCTGTCTACTTCATCCAGTTTCATAATGCAAAGTTACATTTGTAAGCCTTGTGTAATGAAGGAGCCAGAGGTGGCATTGAGTACAAACAGGTATGTAATTATGGTTAGACTCTATATTGTAACGCAGAAGGAAGTTCACAGGAAGATCAAATGAGGCTGCAGACTTCTCTTGAGACTTTAATGCTAAGCTTTCAATTGCTCAACTTGCAGCCTGAACACTCTTTTAAAGTAAGATTGTAATCTGTATATGTTTTTCTTTTTTGCTTACAGCTGGATGTATTCTGCACATCTTTCATTGTTGAAAAGCACTCTCCCACTGCTTAGGGGAAAAAAAAATAACCCATTTTTTCATTTATCTAGGCTTTTATCAGCACTTGACAGTAATCAATTCAAAAAACAGTTTCCAGGGAGATGAGGGTAACACAGCTACACATGCATCCCCTCTTCTGTTCCATCGTGAACATGACCTGCTCTCTGCAAATACAGGAAGCCTTTACGACAGACTACCAAAACAGTTACTTGAGATCAATCAAGAGTTACTGCAGTCTGGAGTCATTTCTCTTTGTGGTATGTATTATGGAAATGACAGTATACTTGATGATAGATGAAACATACACAAAGCATAAATGTGTATTTTTTTCAGCTTTGTGATACCGGAGATAAATTGAGGATAGGTTACCAGCAGGTCTAAGTCAACAGTACTGCTGAATAGAGCCAATCTCATTTATAGCAGTCCATTAGAGTTAACTGGAGGAGCAGCAGAATTTTGCAGGCTTTGTTTTGATCACATAAGAATGGTTGTCTCAGCTTTTGACTGCAGCATTCGTAAAAATTGCTTTAAGCAGAAACACTTTTTGAAGTGTTTTTAAACCAGCTTTACTGATTTTCAGACATGCATGTGCCAAAACTTTCCTCTAAATCTCATGTTCATAGCTAAACCTTTTGTAAGCCTTTCTTTTACTTCTCTTTGTCTAGGAAGCCGAGACAGAAGTGGCAGAGCAGTGATACAAGTCTGCACAAGACATGCCATCTGGTTAAATGAACGTTGCACAAGTACAGCAGTTGCTCATCTTCTGATGTACCTCTGCAGCATCCCCAGGTATGAAGTGAGCCAACCTGCTGGGCTTTAGCTCTATTTATTTATTTATGTATTTATTTATTTTTATGGTAACACGTATGCTAGGGCTACGGAGACCCTGCTGCTATGGAAAGCTCCTAACTACTTCCTCATGCCAGACAGCACTAAAATTCTTTCTGAGCCTCACACACTGGTACTAACAAGAGCTCAATAGGTCTTAATTTCACAGCTTGTTTTACAGTTAGCTGTGGTGTTTAATACTTGGTTTGTGTGATAAATGATCACTTTGTGGTTGGACTTAGGTTTGCTGTTCTATGAAATTACTCTTTTGTTATTATTCACTGCTTTTAAATAATGTACAGCAACTGAAAGTTTGTTGTGTCTGCCATACGCCTATATGCCTCTGGTTTAGAAATAGCTTCCAATTGTACTGTCAAGTACCTGTGCAGTTGCATTGCCTTTAAATGCAAGTGGCCGTCTTCAGATACTAAATTGCTAATTGTTAAGGTAATCTTACAAGCTCTTGCAACGTTCTTAGCGCTTGTATAGTATGCCTTCTGGTGGCTAGTTAGAGGTGACACATGCAAAAGAGTTCTCTGCTACAGCATGCTAGTGTAATCTTTGCTCAAATGCCAGGTGCATGTGTACTTGAACTTAAAGGCTCAGTGATCTAGCTTGGGCTGAAGTGGTTAATTTAATAACAATGTTATTTTCAGTTTTAGCTTTGCTTTCATTTTTTCTTTGCTGTATAACAGGAAGCATAAAGAAGGTAATTTGAGTTTGTGTCCTTTAAATATTACCTTGATTGTGGAACCATGAAATAAGACCTGACTGATTCATTTTGTAACTGCAGTCAATTTGATTTGTGCACGTAAAACTGGGTTTATGTGTTAGAGACTGCCTTAACATTGCTTTGCATATTTGACCCTTCCGGTTTAGTACTCATTATTTTTTCCAAGAGTTAAATATACACAGTAGAGTAGCGTCCCAGAAAGCTTTTAATGTACAATGTTTTAATGTACAATGTTTTTAATGTCCCTGTTTGTACAAGGTAACTGTGGGTTTCCAACATCCTCTGTCCTTTTTTCTGCAATATAACTTCTTTGATAACTTATGTAGTCTGTCTTATAAGAGGTCTACAGTTGATGAGCAAGCATTTTTATTGGTTTTAATGAGAATAATTGTGGAGTGGCCTTTTATTCCCTTCCACAGCTATCTTTTCCTGTCTAAAGTTATAGAATGCAAAAATCCAGATGGATAACCTAGCAACTGATATTCCTTGGTTGCCCCCACGTTCAACACCCATTGGCACGCTGAGTTCTCTCACTGAGTTCAGCTGTCTCTTGTAACGTGTGAATGCTGGCCTAAACATTGCAAACCTGGAGGCTGGTATAAATTCTACCTGTTGGCCATTTCTCAGCTGTAGTAGAAGTGATGTATCGTGGAAGTAAGAATGTCAGGAACCAGGAAAATAACATAGATGTCCCTTTACCTAGGAAAAGTAAGACAGTGAGAACCACAGGAACGCTCTAAGATAATAGAAACAGGGTAGTTTCACCTGCTCTTCACATATTTCGCCCTCTTCACATATTCTGTACTGAAGACTTCTTACTATGCAGTTTCGTCCTCATTTTAAGCAAAAGCATGTTACACCTGACAGCAAAAGCCTAAGTAAGAGTCCTCAAGAATCGAGTAGGGGGTGGTTATGATAGTCGTCTGTAAATGGCAGTCATTGTACTTAATGATTTACTTCCCTCTCCCTTCACCCCTCCACTCCCCACCCCACACTCCTTAAGTAAACAGCTTTGTAGGCTTTCTGCAAGGGGAACCTGACAGACAGTGCAAGAGTGCTTGTGGACTGTACATTTTACTTTCCTGTGTAAAGTGTTGCAAAATATGTGATTATCTCAACAAGAAAGACATTTGCAGTATCTCTGTGCGTACTTTAACTTTTGGAACACATGCCACGCATTGTATTCTCCCATGAAGAAACATATACTCATCTTATTTCACCGTTTTTGAATCACTGAAGAGGGAGTAACTGCTGGAATAAAGTTACTTGTAGAGATTCTGAGCCTATTAGAATTGACTTAATTGTTTCAAATAAAAAATAAATTTCACTTGTGAACGTAACCCAAATGGACTTAATTCTTCATTTCCTTTGTCCCACTCCATTTCTCGGAATTTTCACTTAAAATTGTTGTTTATGCTGTAATCACAATGACATCAACTTTTTTGTTTGTCAAAACATGAGTTTCAGTTGATTGGCTGTATTTCAATGAATGACTGTTTCTCATTTGCTATTTTATATAATTATAGTTTATTAAAAAGGAGAAATATATAATTTCCTTTTTAAAAAAATACAAAATCGTGTGCTGTTCTGCCAGATAAACATTTTCAAAACTGTTAATAAAAACTTTCATATTTGAAGAGTTATTTTTCTCCATACCACACTTTCATAAAGAAATTTGTGATATACATTTTTAATATGAGTATATAGATGAAGACCGTTTTTAATAGACCTTCTTTTATTTTCTTCTACAGAGGTAAATGAAAACCTACTTTTCTAGCTTCATTCATTTGTGCTTTTGCTTTGGAATTTTATTTGAATATCCAAAAAAACCTAAGGGGAGTTGAGTGAGATGCAAAATACAGGAAAAAGTGGCAACTCTGTGTTAATCTGTAGTTTACAAAGAAACTAGCAGTGCTTTTAAGGGGGAAACACTATCCTAATCTTGGACATTTGAACAAACTGGTATTCAATCACTGAGTTTTAGCAAGTAAGATTTTTAAAGAGTTTTCAGAAGTTTATGTAGTTTAAAAAAAATGATGGCACAGGCTTCAAAGAACACAATGAAAATATGAACCTTGATTCATGTAAGTTGTCTTATATAGAACAAGGGAGAATATTTCTAGTTGCAGTTTACTTTTGTCCCCTGATGGTGCCAGGCCTTGGCATAAGACACTTAAGTCACCCTGAATGAAAGTAGGCCTGGGAAGAGACTTGGGCCCTTGTTTCATCTCCCTCTCCCAATCACTGCCGTTGTATCTTCAGAAAAACGTTTGTAGTCTAGCATTCAGGAATCTGACTTTTTTTAAAACAGGATTTAAGCTCTCCAATTGCTCTTTTAAATTCCTTTTAAAATCACAGTTGTGGAGACTAGGATTTTGACTGAAAAACTTGAAAAGTCGCCATCAGTATATTTAGAACTCTGTAGCTGATTTTACCCATGAAAAATTTTACCTTTGAATCTTGGAGATCTGAGTCTTTAAAGGAAACTATAGATTTTTTTGCAAAACTTTTATCAAAATAAACGTATAGCCAAGTAATGAAACTCCAGCTAAGGAGAGGATTTAAATTTCAGTAACTTGTTTGAACAGTCGATGCCTGCAGTACAAGGTCTTAGTCTTCCAGACAGTCAGCACAGACTAGTTACTCTTTTATTCATAAGTACAGATCATTTTGCTTTTCTACCTGCAGTGACCTGAACATAGGAAAAAAACTCTGTATATAGAGCAATTTTTTTCATAGCAGAAGAGACCTTAGCCATCTTTAAAGTCAGCCCTCTTTCCAGGTCAACGAAGACTTTCCCTCAGAAAGGACATGCAAGTGTGACTGGGGAATGACAGTGAAGATAAATTAGCAGTAGGGCACCATTCCAGAAAGAATGGATGGGTAGACACCTCCACAGCAAGCATCATACACGACTCTGGCACAGACCACTTAAAGCAGGATTAGGTTTCTCTAATTCCAAATACTGTAACGAAACTAGCCAGCTAGGCTCCTCTTGCAGTCAGCGGAAGGAGCGAAGCACATCTAAAGTGATTATGCTTTTGTCTTAAACATCTACTATAAGCTTCTTACAGTGCCTGTCTTATTTTCTCTCGCTCTCTCACTCTTCCTCTCCTCCTCTCCCAGTTTTATACAGAGTCTAGATGACCAGCTGGAACTAAGCACCTAATCTCTAGATGCCTGTAGCTAGGTGATTGAAGTCCTACCCTCAGAGCCTCTGCAGCCAGTTCCTCATTTAGAAAATGTGTTTATTACGTCCCTGCACCGTCCCTGCAACGTTGTAGCAATGATGTTAATGGCAGAAATTGTAGAAGAGAGATGAAAGGTAAAGCTTCAGGGACCGTGGACAACTGGAGATGGATCAGAGAATGAGGAAGTAGTATTTTAGGAACTCCTCACAAGTGCTTGTTCTCCTCACAGTGTGGTTTGGGGACAATCAGTGGTCCTTCTCCCAAGACCGTCATGCCCATAACAGCTCTCTGGGACGTTCTTCCCTACTCTGAGCAAAAGTTAAAACATATCTTAAGATTAAGCCATGTGTTGTAAGTGAACCCATCCTCAGTCTTTTTGTTCTGGTAAAGGCCTGCGAGTCTTCAGCACAGAACTTCCTCACTAAAAGCAGATGGCTTAAAAACACACCTGTCTTTCTGTTGCTAGGAAGGAGGTACGTGATTTGGGAGTTGTTATTCTAGTGGATGCACGGAAGTGCCAGCCTGTTTCTTCTCTGTTCAAAGCATTAACAGCAATGCAGGTGAGTAGTACTTGGCAGAGGCGTCGTCTCTAAGCGCAGAATGAAACACTAGGATTTTTAAAACATGCCATGATACGTGCTGCAATTCTGTGGGAATAGGAGCTTTCTTACACTGGTTGCTGTTCTGCAGAGTAAGGACTCACAAGGATGAGGTGATAGAGTTAAAGCAGAAATAGTCTGAAAATAAGATTAAAGAAAAAGTTACCTGAGAGAGGTTTATTTTTCTCCGAACAGAAATTAAGTGAAATCTGAACCGATCTCTTATGCTGAAGTCTGTGTTTCTCAAACGTTGCATAGAAATGTATCAGCTTCCTGGGAAGATAGTTCTGCAGATTAACTTGCTATGGGTTTCATCTTATACTTTTTAAAAATTTTATCTTGCTGCTTGGATTGAAACACGTATCAAAGTAAGGTGTACATAGAGTGTGGTGAAAACTGAAGCCAATGTTTCCTCTGCCCTTGATGCAGCTTTCTTTACGCAATACAGCTGCAGATCTGCTAGCACAGTTAGCAGCTTTGGTTTAGAAGAAAAGGCATTCTAAAGTACTTTGAATTAATAAACAGTATTTTGTTTTAGAACAAGCAGATGTGGTAAAACTTAATTTAATTTCTGTAAATCAGCAATAATTTCAATAGGGATTCTGCTAGCATTGTGGAATTTACCCAGACCTTTATTACTGGGTGAAGTGGTGAACTGAAGAGTCTAAGATGCTTCAAGTGAACCACGTTGCCCACTTGGTTGCCTTCTGCCCAGCTGACAACTGTTCAGGGAAACTTCTTTCTGTAGCACCTTAGTAAAGGAAGGAGATTTTGATGTTTGTAGTAACAATTTAACTGCATTTGTCTTCCTTTTCAGAATGCAGTTCCTCATTCAATTCACAGTGTCCTAATATTGACTGATAAGGAATGTTCTTTTAGACCTGACCGGGACATAGCAATTCAGGTAAGTTAAGATATTGCTCAGAGTTGTTAAATTGTAAGTATAAAATTCCATATGAAAAAAATCTCCTCTCAAAAGTGACTGCAAGGTTGTTTGATCCTGTTGTTTAGAAGAGATTAGTCTTCTGGGTTTGTTTTTAAGGATCATTTTTTCTTGATCTCAGTGAGTACTACTTAGTTCCATGTATACAGCAGGGAGCAGCAAGAGCAGGCTGCTCTCCACGGGAAGGAGAGCCAGGAGATGAACATGGCAGTAACACAGGCAGAGCCAGGGACCAGTCCCACAGCGCACAGCAAGGCAGTCAGGGAGGTTTGTTGTCAGAGACCTTGAAGAGTAGTATAAGCCTACTCTAGCTTTAAAAATGTTTCTCAGTGTAAATTCAGTCTTTGATACATATGAGGATCATGTTACTTACTGTAGTGTGCTTCCTAGGTGTTCGCATACTAAGAATGCTTGTCCAAATGCAAATGGTCTGTTGTGACATATTGCTGCATAAAACCAATATCCTGAAGTACGTAACGGGAGTATTGGAACAGTTTTGCTGATTTACTCCTCTCGATAACAGTAATCACTCCTTGTATCTGCGGTATCACAATTATCCATAAATGATTTGGTACCAAGCTGGCACTGACGTTTGAAATAAAAATGATGGATTTTAGAGCATAGATGCATTTGTGTAAGCTAGTGTCAATCAGAAAATAAATGTGTTATTCGGGATTTTTTTATATTATGTTAAAACATAGCATAAACATCTCCTTTTTTTAGGAGAAAGATGTTTTACTCAAAAAAAGGCTTTATTGAATGAAAGAAACATTTCTGTATCATTGTTTTGTGGCATAGGTCACTCCAAAAGATTGATCATTTGATTTATATATTTTCCTGTCTCTGAATATATTCCAAATATTACAAAAAGCAAAATATAATTCTTCAAATGAGGTGGATTTCTTGGGACCAGATTTTTAGATTCTGTATATCAGCGATGTTCAGTGCCTTTCATCTCTTGATGATGGAATATTGCATATGCAGAAGAAAAGGGAGACTTTGAGACCGCACATACATACACATGTACATATATATATATATATATATATGTAGTAATTTACTTTGGCTAAGTATTTGGCTCTCTCAAGAGACCATAAATCCCAGGGGAGGGAAATTAAGTGTTTTTGCCCAACAGTTGAATTTAAGTTTTGTAAAGCTTGATTTATAATTTTTTTTGAGAAGTACGAAATTCTCACATCACTGAAGGCTCTGAATAAGCTCATCGACTACACACAGTTGACAGCAGAATTTGATGGAACATTTCAGTATAACCACAGTGACTGGATATGTTTCCGAAGGGTAGGATATACTTTGGAGTTCTTGCTATGCGTTGTCTCCTTTTCAATTTTTTTCATTCAATTTGGTAACTGTTGTTGCTCATTTGGAGAAAAAAAAAAAGTCTACCTATAGTAACTGAGTTCTGGTCAAACTGGTAGTTTTCCGTTTTCTTCTTTCATTCTGTCTGTGCTCTCTTAAATCTCTCACTGTATTAATTCCTAGCTGCTTCGATGTGGTGCAATAACTGTATGTTGTGTACTGTGCAATGTTTTCAGTGTTGGAAGACAGATCCATAATATAGTATCAACAAACCATTTCTTTTTTAATCTTAGGAGATTCTGTTTAACTAGGCATCCCTAATGTTTGGTCTAACCCAAATCTGAATAACTGGCATGAGATTCTTAGCTAGTGTAATTTATCCAGCTTTGAGTCTGACCCTGCAGTTCTCTACAGGTGTGCAGTACTCTCTTTTCTGCAGAGGCTGGTGGAGCTGTCCTAATTTGTTAGTTAAAACTCTGATTTCTAAAGCATAGCCTACCATGAATGCAAGTGAGATTGTACCAAAATGAAAGTGCCTGAAGTTGGAATTGTTTCTATCCTCTTCTTGCCCAGGCGTGGGCTTTATCGATGTAACACTAAAAGAATCGTGCCAATTTAATTATGCTGGTTTCAGACCATTAGAAGAACCAAAACTGTGCAGATTAGCACTTGCTGTGAATAACACAAATGATTTTGTGACAGTTTGTTGTTTTTAAATTCACGACACCAAAGCAGTTGTTTTATACTCTTATTGAAATTCTACTACTTGTCATGTTTTGTCAACACAGAAACTGGAACCCTTTATTACAAACTGCAAAGAGGCCATTGTCTTTCTGCAAAACGCAGTCAGCTCCCTGACAGCCAACAGAACACTCAACACCGTGCAGGTACGTTTTGGTCGAAAGGCCAAGTGCAAGTTTCTCCATTGTCAAATAAGGAAATTTACTTTTGAAACGAGAACTCTGTAATGTAGCAGACTGAATGCTTTATTTTGACTGAAACTTCAGTGCAGCAAACTGAATTTATAGCAGTAAGAGGAATTTTACAGTGTTAGATGGGATAATCAAACATGATTGTACTTGCCCAAATTTCAGTGTTACTGAATGTTTTATGCTGAGGTCACTGGACCAGAAGTAGCTCCCTAGTGCTATTTATCATGTCAGGCCACGTTTCTAACATGGCCATTCCAGTTGAACATATACAGTCAGGAGAACTTTGGCCAGAACTGTATGTAAGCACAGCTCTCCCTAGATTAATATCTGTTTTAGGTGTATTTGATCAAAAATTACAGATAATGTTCAGGCAAAAATCACAAGTGTGGAATAAGCACTAGCAAAAATCTGGTATTTTGGATTTATTTTTGAATACATGTGAGCTAGACAATGTTCACTCTCTGGGTTTCTCAGATGAAACTGATAGTATTTTTGTTCTGCATAGGATGTGTGTGATTTAATCAATAAACACAAGACAATGATGAAGCTTGTTTTGGAAGATGCCTTGTTAGTAACACTAAGGCTAGAAGGTGGAACAGTCCTTGCAAGACTTAGGAAGGAGATCAGCCACACAGAAGACTATCGGTAAGTACAGATTTAGCAAAAGGTGCTGACGATGAATGCAGAATCACTGAATAGGTGAGCTTAGAGGGGACCTCTGGAGATTGTCTGGTCGAACCCCGACCCTGCTCAAGCACAATCAACAAGAGCAGGTTGCCCAGGACCAGTCTAGTCAAGCTTTCAGTATCTCCACAACCTCTCTGGACAGCCTGCTCCAGAGTTCAACCGCTTTCACAGTGACAGAGAATTATAGTAATAGAAGAAGTGAAAACAGTTGTTTACTTATTTTGTAAGGTAAGATTGTCTTTCGGTCAGTCCCTCTACTGCATAGCTGCTGCAGCTTTATTTTTGAAGAAGCTCTGGGGTCCTCTAGAATTCAGCCGTAGCTCATACTTTACCTAAAGATTCAGTAAATCCTATAACTTTTTAAGCGTATGGATTTCAAGTTTCATTAGAGCAGAGTTTGAATTGATTTCTAGGATGATGCAATGATTCTCAAGCAGAGGCAACTTTATATATGCAGCAGCTCAGAAAGTCTTCTGAGTCGTGCATCCTTGGTCAGCCAGAAGGAGAGACACTTAATATTCTGGACGGTTTTGAAAAGTGTGACCATCATGTTTATGTGGTTTTGAGTAAGGTACCTTTGCATTTAACAAGTTGAATACAGTTTTTTGAATAAAACTTTACAGTTGCTAGATAGGTTGTAGCGACAGTCTTCAACAAAATAGGGGATTCATGTCTTCTGAAAGATGCATTTCTTCTGATACTGTCTTTGTCTAGCAACACTCTGTTGATCTTTCCTCCCCATCTAATAGAGATGCCATGGAGATTGTAACAAGACTATATAATCAAGTAGATGAGGAAGTCCATAGACTGGTACTCTTATCTAATAAATGCCTCCAGCAGCTGGAGAATCTTGGAGAAGCAAGAAAATTTGAAGAAGGCTGTGACCAGGTCAGTATTAGTTTTTGAGAATTAAAAAAAAATTATAGTTTTAAGCTTCTGTTTCTTTGCTTATAGAGCTGTATTTATCTGATATGATATATCTCATTGTTTACATATCAGTGCTGCAGTGTGTGAGTAGTGCTATTGACATTAGCAGTTTATGAGTGTGCAAAACAAATTAGAGTCATTATTTCAAGCAGACCAAATTCAACTGTAATATAAGCCACTAGAATTTCTTAAGGGAGATGTATATGAAGTATTTGAGCTTATTTTAATGAACAGAGTAATTTCTATGCACTATATTTATGTATAGGGAATGTTTGACTGACTGACGGGGGAAACAAGGTTTGCTTGGTATTTTTATGCAGATAAAACAATGGTTTGAAAATGAGCGAGCAAAATATCTTGGCTGTTTAGATCAAGAGGGACTTTCTCTGGAAAAAGTGAGGAAGCTGCAAGAAGATTTCCAAGGTTTTGTTGACAAGACAAAGGTAGGCAGCACACTACTATGGAACATTTCCTTTGCATTTTCACAAATGTTTAAGAAAAATAGTGAATTGTCTAGCCTTGCAGTGAAGAAAGAAGTGTGTTTAGTTCCCTAATACATAGAAAAATGTTAACTCTTATTGGCAGCTTGCTGGTCTTATTTCCCAGTCTATACTGGCTATGAGATTGGTCAAAGTGCCTCTGTGAAGTTCAGACTGAACTGGTACAACCACATAGTTTGGTTGCAGCAGCAAGAAGAGATACAGATTCCCAGCCCCAAAAGCAGTATTTCCACTCTGTGTAGCATGTGGCACACATGCAGGTATCTGTATAATGTTTTATAATTTTAAGTGAGGTATAACTTTAAGTGGATTCATATAACCTTATACCTTGTTTCTGTGAAGAAGAGTCTAGTTTGTATGTTGTTGTATTTAACCAATTGTATAGCTTAGAAGGAGGAAGACAGTGGGCAAGGGAATGTATTAAAAGGAGGATTTATCAACAAGGGAGTATATCAAAACTTGACTGATCAGATAGCCAGTCATATTCAAAGAGTACAGGTAAAAGTTGCCTGTACAGGTGACTCAGCTGAGGACACCTCTGTGAGAAAGTTTACAGAAGGGACTGCTGTCAGCATCCCTCAGGCAGTGACTGGTTGACTTGTCCAAGAGCTTTTGGTCAAGGTATATCTTGTTTCAAATATCCTGATAAAGCTCACTTAGCAACATATTTCTACAGTCATTTGTCTAACACGCATTGCACCTGAGCTGAAAAACTCCAATTTCTGTCATGCTTAGTTCATGCTGTACTGCTACTGGTCGAGGGCTAGCTCAGAGACTGCTGCGCTGAAGTCCTTCGCATGATGTAACCTGTTCCCAGAGCTCTGGCAAGGCCACTGTCTTTATACATTTCCAAAAAAAAAAAAAAAACGTTGTTGGTTAGAGGAAAGTAAGTCAGAGGGAAGGCTGTGCACATGCCTGAAGTGTCACATAGATTCTCTGATTTGCAAAGCATAATAAGCAGTTCAAGAGGTTAGCTAAACTAGTAATAGGACGTTTAGGTTTGTTTTAGGACGGTAGGACTGACCCAATTGAGTTACTGGGGAAAAAACCCTTCCAGCCTAATTAGACTGTAGACACCTTCCTCTGGACTCTAGTAATATGGTTGAGCGTATGGGGGAGGCTGACTGTTGTGCCATGCGCTAGATCATACTCAGCAAAAGCTGTGTGACGTGTAACTAGTTGTTAGGTAGGAAGGGAAGCAAAGTTACAAAGGGAGGCTTAGGTGCTCACTGACTTCTGGTGGATAGAAAATTCCACTGTTTGAAATTCTTACTTCAGATAAAGATACTTCCAAGAGAATAGTTTTGTTAATTAAAAAGTTTCACTAGATGTTTTTTTAAAGATGAATTACTACTGCAGCTTTCCCTGCTATTTGTAAACACTTACTTGAATTTTCTGTACTTTTTATGTTCCATTTTGATATCCATTTTCCTTCCACACTCTCCCAAATCCAAACTGGAAAAAAAAAGGCAGAACACTGCATAAAAATAGATATATGCAAAAAAGTCAGAAGGTTCAGCAAGACTGATGCTGTATTTTTCAGTTCTCATGTGTATTACAACTGATGCAGTAAGATTTGTTAATGTGACATGCAGTTAATGATAAACAAGATTATGCATAGTAAAGGAAGTGGTATATTATATAGCATATCTGTTTTTCTCTTCATCCCCCAACAGCAATATTATGAGAAAGGACTGCAGCTGGTGCAAGAAAATCATTCCTTAAACATGGAAGAAAAGGTTCAGATCTTCAAGAAGTATCTGAGTAACATTTTCATTGAGATAGAGAAGAGGAAAACTGAGCTGACAAAGCTGGTCGATTTGTATGAGTTTTATGAAATGGTAAAAGAAATATTTTTGCATCTGTGCCTTAAGCTAGACCTTATTGATTGTGAGAGCGATCAGGGAATTGCAGCAGACACACTGTTGTGTGCAGTCTGTGCAGTCCCCTGAAGGATTAAAACTAGAGGAAGAATTTGGGCAAGTAAACAGGGCATTTAGCTGCTATCATGCAACAGCAAAAAGATCGGGTAATCTGAAGTTCCTGTTGTGGAATCCCAAAGAACCAGTTGTAAAACAAGCAGGAATTGTATTAAGAATAGTGCACAATTTTCAGCTTAACCAATTTTCAGCTAGTAAGTGTTGAATTAGACAAGCTTTGATGGGCTACACATGGGATCTCTTTTCCCTTTGCAAGTACATAAGCAGGCTTTTGAGAAATCTGTTGAGTATGCAGTTTGTCATGCTCTATCTGAATATATAATCTCAATATGTACGTTTTGCTAGACAGAATTTTTGACCATTTCTTCTTGAATCTGAAATAAAATCGTATCATAATCTTTCTGTTTAAATGAACCATTCTTTGCTGGTTTCTGTAATACAGAAGTAAAGTGTACACATAGCATGATGGCGCATATATTAGGGGTTTTATAAGCTCAGCAGATCTCAGACAGGAAGACCATATGAACTTCTGTGTCATTCTCTTTGTGGCTCTCTGTCCTCTCTCCATATCTCTGCTGCTGAGGTCAGACGTAGCACAGCTCAATTCTTTTCTAAATCAAAAGTAGTTTTACTCTTTACTGCGCTTTCTTAACCTTTATTCTTTCCCCTCTTTGACTTACCTATAGGGTAGGATTATTCCCATGTGATAGGAGGGAATCTCACCGCACTTAAATTGTGCCAAGATCTGTAGAGAGAGTTTTTCTTAAGTGCTTTGAAATCCTTAAACAGGAAGTATTGTGTATATATACAGAATTTTACTACTTAAACTGTACTTTTTGTTTTTAATCCAGGCACAAGAGTGGATGTTGCATTGCAACGAGTGTCTGGCACATTTAACTGCAGAGGCTAGATGTTCTCCATCTGTGATTCAGTGTCTGCAAACTTATCATCAGGAAGGTACAAAAGTTTCTGCGGAAAACTTTAAAAAAATAAATGAGATGGTTTTGGCTCTGGGTAGCAAAAAAGAGCTAAAGCAATTGCATATTTTGTGGCTGAAATGTCAGCAAACAAGGCATCATTTAGCAGAACTTCTTTCTGAAGCCCTCAAAGATTCCAGTAGGGACTATTTTCACAAAGTTCTGAAGGAACCTGCTATGAAGATAAATGATGGGTTTGATGTTGGAGGTAGGAAGCCGTTAAGCCAATCCTGTAATTACTCCTCTTCTAACAACAGTGACAATATTTGGGTGGACAAAACTAAGCCTGTACATAAGACACAGCCATTGGAAGCACCATCACTTTTAGGCCTTGGGAATGTAAACCAAAATATGGAAGCAGCTGTGGAAATAGCTGCATCTCCGCTACAGTGGCTTGCTCCACTTCCAGCTGAACTTGAAAAGAGAAACTGGAATTCAGAGGACATAGACAGTGTTTCCACCACCCACTCAGCTTCAGTCTGTTCTGAGCCAATCTACTCACCACCTACCTACCACAGGAAACAACCACACAAAAAGATCATGAAGAAAACGCAAAGCTTTGAACTTAGTCAGCATGAAAGCACCTACAGTGAATTTCACCACCGTGGGTACACAGGAGTGCATATCAAAGGACTTGAGGTAGCCAGTAGTAATGGTAATGAAAAAAAACACGTACAGTGTTTGAATAGTAGAAGTCCTTTGATAAGTAGAAACCGAAGTTTATCCTCCCCCTCAAGGATCCATCATATGGAAGAAGAGGATAAGAAAAGAGGAGGAAGGTGAGAAATGATTACACCACAGTCTCTATTAGTGAGGAGAAAAAGGAGAATGCTCTTTGAAAAGTAAGGGTCAAAAGAGATGACAGAAATGGAAGTGCCCTGAGTTCTAAAGGAATACTTTTGTGTCATTTTACTTCTCTAACTTTAGATTTGTTGAGGGGACAATGGAAATGACAAGGTTTTGTTTGTTTGCTTTATTTGTTTTTAAGCCAGGGAAAATTCTTACTGAAATCAAGTAAGAGCTGAGTAGAAACAGTGAGGAATTCAAGATTTAAACTCTAGCCCTCTCAGGCTTTACAGAAAAGCTTCAAGTTTTGCTCCTTGTGAGTAGTCTAATGATTTCATTTGGACTATTCTTTGTGTCTAAAGATAAACACTCATGCCACTCTTTGAAGGTTAGTGATCGTAGCATAGTATAAATGGAGATATTTCTGGTTTTTGCCATACCTAATTTTTGTGGGGTTTAGCATTCCTCTGCAACAGGAGAAAACTCTTGGCCTGCTTACAAAAGACGGATGTTGAAGTTTTTCTAACTTAGATTTATTTCCCAATCTGAGTCAAGTAAGGAAAAACTTTATTGAAAAATACAAAGTGGAAGTTTTTAAAAAACCCCGATCTTTAATTGATCTTGCTAGAAATAACAAAACTAAAGATTGGCTCTTAATTTTTTTTTTTGTTCATTTTGATACTGTAAGGAAATGTTCAGTCTGTTGGTGTCATTTGCTAAAGTATCTTAGGTTAAACCAAAATATTTAGGAAATCTTGAGTGGTGTAATGTATGGGAGGACGATGAAATTCAATTGGCAATTTGAATCTGAAATTCTCTCTTAACTCCTCTCTCCCTTCTTAGTGCTAACAGACTTGAACATTACTGTTTTTTTATTTTCTGGGGAAAAACTCTTCGTCTATGGGATGTTGTAGCTTGACAGATTGACCAGTGACATCCCTGAAGAAGGAAGATTAAATCGATATTAATAAACATAAGTGTGCGTATATCTATACAGCCTAGCACCAAAAAGGAAAGCTCTTAAAAATGTAGATATGCTTTCTTTTTCAGAAATTATTTCTGTTAATCCCTGTTGAATTAGTAATTTGCACCTAGAATCGTGTCCCTTGACGCACACAAGCTACACCAAAGGGGAGTCTCCTTGAAGTAAGATTCATCATCATTTCAGTGTTCTTACTGAGCAAAACTACATATCATGTAGTTTGTACCAGTACCTGAACAAAAGTTTATTTTATTTATGGTGGTTGTCTGCTATGGTTTTCCAGGACCACAACTTGGTTAGCAAGCCAACCCTATTTTAAATTCAATCAAATCCTGAGGTAATTTTAATGATCTTAAAGTTTAGCATATGCTTAACTGTTTTGCTAGACAGAATGCATTTCATCATATATTCCAGTGTTCTCTCAGATTGTGGCCTCTGTGCTTCTGGAAAGCACGCGTTATTAGTTTCTACAGGAGTGGATGTCTTATGTGATTTTTTTTTATATGGAAGTCAATGATTTAGAAGGAGCTTGTGTGTGTGTGTGTGTGTGTGTGTGTGTGTGTGTGTGTGTGTGTGTGTGTGTGTGTGTGTGTGTGTGTGTGTGTGTGTGTGTGTGTGTGTGTGTGTGTGTGTGTGTGTGTGTGTGTGTGTGTGTGTGTGTGTGTGTGTGTGTGTGTGTGTGTGTGTGTGTGTGTGTGTGTGTGTGTGTGTGTGTGTGTGTGTGTGTGTGTGTGTGTGTGTGTGTGTGTGTGTGTGTGTGTGTGTGTGTGTGTGTGTGTGTGTGTGTGTGTGTGTGTGTGTGTGTGTGTGTGTGTGTGTGTGTGTGTGTGTGTGTGTGTGTGTGTGTGTGTGTGTGTGTGTGTGTGTGTGTGTGTGTGTGTGTGTGTGTGTGTGTGTGTGTGTGTGTGTGTGTGTGTGTGTGTGTGTGTGTGTGTGTGTGTGTGTGTGTGTGTGTGTGTGTGTGTGTGTGTGTGTGTGTGTGTGTGTGTGTGTGTGTGTGTGTGTGTGTGTGTGTGTGTGTGTGTGTGTGTGTGTGTGTGTGTGTGTGTGTGTGTGTGTTTTAAATAAATCAGTGCCTGCTACTTTTAATAATGATGAAACTCAGCAACCTCACTTAATGTGCATGACTGTTCATTTTTTGTAATTACTTTAGTTGTACCGTTTTTTCATAAAGGTGTTGTTTTACCTTATTCTCCTATAAAATAAATTTTAAGATGGATTCAGTTTTCATGTTAGACTTTACAAAATCTGTGAGTTGTTACCAGATCAGTAGCATTACTTGTCCTGTGTAATTACCATTCCTGCAATCAAAAAGAAGCACTCTTAGCTCTTTGCAAATGTAGCTGTCTGTTTTAATCTCATCTACCTGGATCAGAGCGTAAAACAACGAAAGCCATAGGCTTTTGAAGTTTTTTATGACAGTTTGACAAAGCTATGCCGTTTCCTGTAAATATGCAGCTGAGACTGCTGCTAGCTGTAACCACTCTTAAGAAACAGGTTAACAAAATTACTGATTTACTTGCGTATGTGAGGATTTGTGTACCTGTGAAAGTTATTTCTTTTTAAGTGAAACAGATACGTGTGAATGCCTCCCTAACTGATGCTTTTATTCCACAATAAAAAGTCTCATGTCTTTTTCCTTTATCATTTTCAAATGTATTTTTAGACTAAGCAGAACCAGGTAATTGTGTTGTGGAATAAGAGCTCAAGCATAAATGTGTTCAGCATTTGCTGCTGTTGAAATAATCTACATGTAGAGAAGCCGTAACTGTCTGTGGGGAAAGACCTTTGTGTTGGATGAGCAGGTGTTGGTTTAGATAGTTGGTTTAGTATGCAATCATAATGCAGTAATTTTTATGTAAAGACAATTTTCAGTCTTAGGGTAGTATGAGTTACAATAAAGTCGTCGGTCGTCCTTGTAATTTAGTAGAAGCAAAATTGAAGATTGCCTTAGATCTATCAAAATCAGTAACTTCCTCTGTAGTCTTTTAAAAAAACTTGTATTACAGAATTCTCTTTGCAGTATGGCTTAAATTCCTTTTGCTTCCTTTAGATTCTCTTTTGGGTCAGGGAATCAAGGGAGAAGGAAGCAAGATGTAACCTGTTTAAATGGTTCTGACTGAATTAGAAGCACAGCGATGTCTTTCAGTGTTAACTTCAGGTATCAACACACGCATGCTGTGTGCCAGCAGGGAGTCGAGCCCTTAGGTCCTAGTTTTGTGTGTGTTTTGCTTACTGGATCTCTCTGAACAAAAGCAAGGTAGGCACACTGGCATTTTTTTCCAATCTCAAGTGATCAAGAAAAAACAAATATCCGGAGACTTTTTAAAAGGTATGTTTGTTTAGTTTGGGGTTAGGGTTGTTTAGGATTTTTTTCCCCCTCGTGAATATCCTGAGCTTTTGGGATTGCAGTTCCAGCTTTTCCTCCATGTCTAGAAAAATCCTTTGCAAAATCCTCAGGTTCTCATGAGGGCAGGAGAAGCCAGGACTTCTGTGCACCTGTGCATCCTTCTCTTATAAGAGGTGGTCAGTGATGTGGGGAGATACTCAGTGGCCAATGCATGGGAATTATATGCAGGGAATGCATGTCATGTGATGATTTGCACTTAGAATGTTTTCCGGGTTGAATTGGCTTAAACAACTTTCTTGAAATTGCGAGGAAAACATTTGTGCTAAAGCAAAGGGGGGAAAAAACCTCCCTAACCATCCCACCACAGGTAAACTTTGGTGTTGCCCCATTTTTCAGCTGTTCGTAATGCATTACTGCTCAGAGATGTTGTACAATGTGCTTTCCACTTTCATATTGTTTTCACTCCGTTGATGAGCTACTTGCTGCTCTGATGCAGGAGCATTCAAACAGGCAGGAACTAACTCGACCATAGGGTCGAGTTCCACCCATGGATAAAAAGCATAGTAGAAATGTAAAGTAAGATAGTACAAGGAATTGGCATTTATAGCTAGAGCCCCAGTTTGATTCTTAGAAATGTTCTGATTGTTGGGTATAGGATTTTGGTTTTGGTGTTCTCCTGACGTATTGACCACAAAAATAAGATCCAAATTCAGATTCAAAATGAAATGTTCAGAGAGTAAAGTCTCAGATTCATTTCTAGAGCTACTGAAAAAGATATTTCCCCTTTTGAACAAGAAATACCAATTAAGTTGATAGTTGATCTCTTTAAGACTTAAATTCATGAATGAAATATGTTCACAGTATAAATATTTCTGTCTTTGCTTGCTGAGATTTGTCTCAACTGTGTAATAAAACTGCAATAAATACTCTGTAGTTGGGAAAAATAGAGGTTTACTCAGCAGCATTTTTTGTTACAATGAACATCTTTGTAGTTTTTTATTCTTTTTATTCTTGTTAAGGTTAAAATATGTTTCTGTATTATTAACGATCCAAAAAGGGCTTTTTAAAGTGCTATATATTTTAATCATTGAAGAATTGTTGCTATAAGGAAAGAAGAAACTGTACAAAAATGCTGAAATGTTTTTTTCTCTGGTTTGTATAACCAGGGACTTAGAATAGTTTCAGTTTTCAGCAAATGAAGTCCGTGATGTTAAAGAAATTTTGTTGGACGTGAGTTTAATTTTATTTATTTTTTATTTCTTACATTTTCTTTGGAAAATGAATTTATAATCACCATGAAATGTGGTTTGTTTCAATCTTGTCCAATATCTGCATACACCAAAAATCACACCCTTCTTTTCACCACCACCACCTCTTTTGCCTGTTTCCTTGCTTTGCTTTCTCCTGCACACTCTTTAGCCAAACATTGTTTCGCTGAAAGCGGTAAGTCGTGTCTTTGCTTGAGAAAAGGTCACGTACTTTATTCCTAAAAACAGCTTTCTCAGTGGAAGCTCACGGCCTGTCAAAGGACATGTTGTTTAAGGAAAATCAGGATAATTTAACAGCAGGTAAGTTATGATTCCAATTTTAAATGGAAGAATGGAAAAAATCAAGAAACCTTTGCACATGCAATAAAGGGGTCTTTAGCATGGCAAAATACCTTCAGCATGGCTCAGAGGATTTTGCTTTCTTCCTTTTTCTGATAACTGGTTTTCATAGACCAGCGCCAGTCCTCTGTTTTGTCCATGAAAAACAGTTGCATTTAGGAAGATTATGAAGTTGTAATTGAAATCAGAAGAAACCCAAGGCAAATGATCTCTTAAGTTGGCTGAGCAGCCAATGCAAGGGTGCTTTTTTCTTCAAAAGTGGGTCGAGATGAATAAAAAGTGCAAGTGAGAACAGTAATCAATGGATTATACCTTGTCATAACCTGTCAGTGTTTAAGCAGTTGTTTCTGTCTTTCAGCAATAAAGTACAGCACATAATGGACGAAATGATCACGACAGAAAGGGAATATGTTAGATCCTTAGGATATATCATCGACAACTATTTTCCAGAAATGGAAAGAATTGACTTACCTCAGGATTTGCGCGGCAAGAGGAACACTATCTTTGGGAACCTGGAGAAGCTCTATGATTTCCATTGCCAATACTTCCTAAAAGAGCTGGAGCGCTGCCGAGACTTCCCACTGTGTGTCAGCCACTGCTTTCTCAAACATGTAAGTCCTGTTCTCAGAGGAAGATATGTCCTTCCAGCCCGACGTTCTGAGTTAACATCAAACTCTGTTGCCTGTTGGGTCATCTGAATTACATTTCTCGAGCTGTGCTATGACAAACGAGGACTACATGGGTAACAGTGCAGGTTCCTCCTTTCAAAAGGGAGTTGCGTAACTCCTAACCATGTTTACTGGTTTCTAAAGCGTTTGGCAGCTCTTAACAGTTGCTCAAAGTTGTCCTGAGCATTGGGGAAACAAGAGGAACAAACAGTGGGACTTCACCGAGAGGAGAGTTCGTCTGTGTCGTCCCTCAGGTTTTCCCCTTGTGTCAGGAGGAATATCAGTGTCTGTGTAAGGTTGCTCCTTTCAGGAAACGGACAATTGTGGGCAGTGGCTGCTTTATAGCACTGATGGTCTTCACAGCTGACCGCCACATGGCTTTCCTGGAGTTTTGTGTCTTGTGTTTGGTGAGGGCCAGAAGAGGACACCAGAATAAGCTTTTCTGCTGCATGACTTCCAAGCTGTATCTTCCCAACTACCTCATGTAGTCATTTTTTTCCAGCTACTGTAAACAATCATGTCTCACCACATGGTTATCTCTGCTGAGCAGCTAGTGAACAGTGATTTATCCTCGGGCTAGGTGTGGCGTAATGCTTTCTGCCTTAGAAGTGGCTAATGTGTCCCATCAGAGGAGTGGGATCCTGAAGCTGCCTAAGGAATGCCCCTCTTCTGTGGACTATCACAGAAAAGATGCTTGAATTATGGCCCTGGAGTAATCTGCTCGCAGCTCGTATAGATCTTGGTGTTTTCTCCTTACAAGATTTCTTTAGTATTCATAGTGTTCTGTTCTTCTGCTAGGATAACAAAATCAGGGCAGGGAGAGGAGAGTATAAGGCTTTAATATAGTTGGGGGTAATGGTGAGGCTTTATTTGATACCACGTGAGTGAACAAAAATGCTGATGCAGGAGCTAGTCATCACTTAGTTCAAATCCACTTTTCAACAGAAAGTGACTTTTCTAACAGAAATTCTTAACAAATTTCTCTAATTCTTAAGAAAACTGGATTTTAAAAAATCTTTTTTTTTTTTTTGAGTGGGAGGAGAAAGTTTTATATACCCTTTCATGATGTTTTTCCCCTTTATTTATATTTTAATGGGAGGAAGGAGAAGTGAAGTACGTGTAGCAAGCTAGAGACCTGGAAGATGACAAACGTTTTTGGGCTTTTGAATTCAGTTAAATTTTTGCATAGAAGAGGACTATAATCCTTTACCTTGATTTTTAAAATTGAATTCTTTGATGAAACACTGTTACGCTTTGGTGTTTGCAAGCACCTTTAGGGCACACTGCCTGGATTCACAATAGAGAAAAAGTGGAAGATGGAAGTTAATAACTGCTTAGTTTGTCCCTTGAAAGAAAACCCTTCTTGCTGTCTTTGGTTGCTCAGACTGATTTATGAAAGGAAGATTTATTTATTTATCTTTGGATGATTTATTTGAATATTTTTATTTTAGAGGAAGGAAGATGCTAATGTGTTTCCTAAGAGGGGAACAAACATTTCAAGCTTTAAAAAATGGTTATTCATTTAATGTTCTGAGCGGATGAGAAGAGAGCTTCCCCGGAGCCTTCTGGATGTTAGGCAAGCTGTGCCTTTTCCGCCCCCCTCTCATCCTTTCTCCTTTTTAGGAAGCTTAAAGGAGCCTTTTGCTATGGCTTGGTAGTCTTTTAATTTGGGCCTGACCCTATCTTCTCTCCAGCACAGAAGTGCTGCGCGCAGTGATATCTCCGTTTCTGCCTACACTGTATTCGGTATCTGAAATCCTTAAAGCTCCTACAGCTTGTTAGTGCTATGAGACGTTGGACAGCCCATTCTCATAGCAATTACCTGTTGTCGCATGTTATAGAAATTAGATCAAAGAGATGTGCAGCCAGTACTGTTCCAAGGGTAACCATGCTAGTTAAGAATATTGACGTTAAATTGATTTGTGCTTTGGAAAAAGTGAAATACATGACTGACTACACCTGCCAAATTTTATAGCGGATTGGATCCGGAAGGGCTGATGCTTACAGAGAGCGAAGTGAACATGTAGTCATTGGTTGCCCTGCTAATGTCTATCTAGATAAAACACCGCTAAAGCTACAGTTAAGGAAAACTTTCCTAAATCTTTATGCAGATTTGTTTGGTTGTTTTTTTTTTAACTGGAAGAAATCTGATGATAGGAAAGAACGGACTAACAATATCTTCTCCACTTTTTTAGGAAGAACAATTTGGCATGTATGCTTTATATAGCAAGAACAAGCCACAGTCGGATGCCTTGCTAACAAGCCATGGAAATGCCTTCTTTAAAGTAATTACTGTCTAGTTTCTTACTTCATGTAAATTGCACGGTCATCACTTGTTGATTTTAAAGCTGTTCAAGGAACATAGTTTAGTAGTGCTTACCCATTTCTGTTACTTCTGCAGAACAAGCAACAGAATCTGGGTGATAAGATGGATTTGGCCTCCTATTTGCTGAAGCCCATTCAAAGAATGAGCAAGTATGCACTTCTGCTGAAGGACATGATCAAGGAGTGTACAAAGACCCAAGAGCAGGAACTCAATGACCTGAGGGCTGCTGAGGAGATGGTGAAATTCCAGCTGCGCCATGGAAATGACCTGCTTGCTATGGATGCCATTCAAGGATGTGATGTAAGCATTTTTCAACTGTTCCTTTGCTATTCGCTTGACTTTCCTGCTGCGCTTTTTACTCCAAGGTAACATTTGTCCAGGCAGGACAGAAAGGGGTGTTGGACCATCTATGATTTGTACTGCTCTGGGGCCTGCAAGACTCGGTGATGGGTCAAAAGCCCAGAGTGCTCAGTGCGCTGTACACCAGATTAAGAAAAAAGTGGTGGCAGGGAAGCCACTGCCTGTCCTAAAATGCTTCTGCTTGCAGGACATGTGTAGCAGAGCCCCAAGACATGCTGTGTGACTCTCGAATTGTGTGTGAGCATGATGAAGGGACACCTGAACTTTTCAATAATCTGATCAGATCTGAAAGCAGTTCTAGCAGATTGACATTGCTCTGTTTTAATCAGCATTGCAAATGCAGCTGTGCTAGATCAATATCTGGAGCAATGTGTCTCCAGAGTGTTATGCCACGTTTACTTGTAGCTCAGCTTATTTTCACCTTTGGCTAGACATACTATCTCCTCCTCCTTCCTCACGCTTTGTGAAATCAATGCCACCTTCTCTTCTCTGCCAAAACTATGTCTTTTTCTCTCAACAGGTCAATTTGAAAGAGCAAGGGCAACTGCGATGTCAGGATGAGTTTATTGTTTGCTGTGGAAGGAAGAAGTATTTGAGGCATGTCTTCCTCTTTGAAGATCTTATCTTATTTAGCAAGACAAAAAAGATTGATGGAGGATATGACATCTATATGTACAAGCAGTCATTCAAGGTACGTTAAACCTCTTGTCTTATTAGGCAAATGTATATGATGTGCAGTGCTCCTTTCTCGGTAGCCTGCCGTGAACAGGAATGTGTTCACCTTAGCAGTATTGGAAAAATGCTGCTAAGACCAGCATCCCACTGTAGATTGCATTACAACTCATTTTTTTTGTTATTACTGTTCTAGGGAAAAAATAAATAGCCTCTTTTTTCAAAGTTTGGAGAAGCTCTGCGTAATCAAGATATGCATATTCTGTTAACTATTTTATGTTGTAAGTGCATAAAACACACAAAATGTTTGAATGTCTTATCATTTGCACAGCAAGAGGTGTTTGGGATATACGAAGTCTTAATTTGCAGTCAGTCACCTGGATTAAGAATCACTGCTGTAGTGTACTGGGGCCATAACTGGAGTTTATTTTGCATTTGTGATGCCAGTTGATATGTCTTCAACTGGAAGAAGCAGAATTGTGGCTCAGCTACTACATCCTGTGTTACAGACTCAGTTTAACTAACTGACTGCAATTCTCTGATCATTAAAGAATGTGTGCTGTTCTTCTAGCAGCAATGTTGCTGTGTTTTCACACACTTTAGAAGGAGATGATACAAGTAAGACATAAACTGCTGACTCTTGCGAAAACAAGTCAGCTGGAAGCACTTGCGCCTTCATTGCCAAGAAATCAAGAGGAGCAGATTTTTCAATTAAAATGAATGACATTAGGAAATGAGTCTGTTCTGTTTGTTGTAAACATTGAATTGGTTTTATCTTTGAGACTGCCGAGATTGGAATGACGGAGAATGTTGGAGATAGTGGTCTGAGGTTTGAAATATGGTTTCGAAGGAGAAGAAGATCCCAGGATACATACATCCTTCAAGCAAACTCAGCAGAAATTAAAATTGCATGGACTGATATAATAGGAAAGATTCTTTGGAGACAGGCTCTGAGGAATCGAGGTATGCAAAATGTGTAAATGTGTTCCAGCAGGTAACTTCTTGTTCTAGGTAGGTAGACTAACCTCTCACGGGGTGCAATAAATCTTACGAATCTTAAGCCAACAGCAGTCTTCAGATTAAACAAGGCACACTGGAAAAGCAGCTACTGTAAATGGCATTCAAAAATAGTTATGGCTCAGTACAGTTTTCTCCTGAAGTTTCAGAAATTTTAGTAGGACCTCTTAGGTACATAACTATTTTAAAATGCCATGTTTAAATATGTAGTGCTTAAAAGGTGTTTACTTTAGGGTATCTCTGTAAAGTGGAAGGTTAGTTTTAGTGTTGACATAGCCAGTAGTGATGCTTGTTAAAGAATTCAGCTGCATGTGCTTTAAAGGTAAGCTGCAGGAGTAGGCATTAGGCTGTTACCTTTTATTTGATTCTATGTAATCTTATCAAGACTTCTGTTGGAGAGATGATATTCAGACTGGCAAAAGTTAGGAAGGCCCTTGAACTTTAGAAAGATCTTATCACGTGAGGACTTGTTCTTTTCTGATATTGACAATCTCATACGTGAAAGGTAGACACTTCCTCCTGTTAAATGAAAGGCAGAGATTTTAAATCTTTATCAGGTTTGAGATTGAGGTTAGGAAGAATAATCATGTTGGTTTAATATTTCCTTCTCTGGAAGGGAAAAGGGAGCCTCCTGGCCCATCAGCTTCCTCTTCACTCTCCTGCCACCCTCCTTGCTTCAGTGTTGGTGCTTATCTGACCCCGTAATACACCAGCAGTGTATTATGTACACCACCTTGATTGATAGATTAGTTTTCTGTTGGCCTACGCATGTCATGAAATGCCACCATGATTTTAGAAATAAGAGCACTCGTAGTTTATTCATTCTCAATTCTGTCCGTTCTGCAGTCTTTTAGAAGAAAAGAAGGCAGAATCAGAACTTCGGAAATTCATTCTTTCTTCTCCCATCACCTCAGATGCAAAAATTTCATCAGGAAAATGGGAAATAAAATGCATCTTTAGCTTTAGGCCTTCTTTGTAGGCATTAAGAAAGAGTAGAATTGCCGTTCTTTTCTGGAAAGAAACTGTTTGTCAGCAGTTAAATACTTCACTTAGGAAATCAGAAAAGAATGTTGAGGAATAATCTTAAGGAGCTGAAACCTACTTGACAAGTGCTTCTGTGAAAATAATCTAGGTCAATATTTAATTTGTATGAGTTGCGTAGCCTCGCCAGCACAGCATCTCCTCAGAAATATTCCACGCAAAGCAGGAGCTAAGTTTCGTGATCCTTGTGAGGCGTGGTTCGGTCAGTTTTTGTGACTGGGTGAGGAAAAGACAAACCAAAAAGAATGTCCTTTTTATGATCACTTAGGAATCTTTTAAGATCAGTTTAACTGCCTGTTTTTATTAGCATCTAGCCTGTAGTTTAAAACTGAAAGTCACTTTAAAAATTATGTCATGCTGATTCCATGTCTTGGAAATGACCAGGTCTGCACTCACCGCTAGCGGTCATCACTTGTTTTATCCGAAGAGTGTATATACTTAGTGAAGTTAGAAGGCCAACTTGCAACTTGTTTTCCGATCTGTCAATAAAACGGACACAAATAAATTGTTACGTATACTAATTGAAACCAAAGCAGTAACGGTATACCTTTTAGTGATTTGTGTTACAGTACAGTGGAGATGATTGTAAAATTAATTTTGGAAATATTTTTTAGATTCTTCCAGATTATTTTGAAGATGTGAGTTTTTGTTTTTATTTTTAATTTACTCTTCTTTTTAACTGAACCCCACTGAAAAATGTTTGTTGTTGTTTCTTGTACTGTCACATTCCTGATAGCAATGCAGGGGATAGCAAAGCTGACAGTGTTTCCATGCCCAAGACAGAGATGCATTGAGTGGAGAGATCTTTCTGGTTTAACAGTTTCTGCCCTGATAGTCCTCAGATCTGTCTTTTCCTGATGCACGGCTCAAGTCCCTAAATAGATATCCCCTGTGATCTCCCCCTGATTTCCAAAGGGAGTTCTAGACTGCCTCATGTTCCTCTTCCCTCCATTCCCAACTGTCTACTTACCTGAGACTGATACAGTTCTTCTGCAGGTCTCCCCCACCTCGCGGTGTATATACATGCTGGATGAATTTGCTTGGCAACTTTTCCACCATTTTCAGAAACTGCAGTCGCCTTCTGACTCGCTAGTCTTGCACAGCCTTTCATTGGCCCTGCATATATGACTGTGCCATCTCTTCCTTGGCTCTGCTTTCGGAATAAAGTGCTTCGTCCTTTATTTCTGGCAGGAATCTGGAGCAACTAAACACCATCCTCTCTTGCCTCCTTTTTGGCAGCACCAAAATATTTCCGTAGCTAAACGGGGAGGTTTGTTGGCATGCACGTCCCTCAGTTTTTTCATAGAGGACTCTTGTGTAGTGCCCAAGAGATATCGCTACCTTTTGGTAGTTCTTCTAGTACAAGTACTGAAATATAAGTCATTTTAGTACAAGCCTAACTCTTGGGTATTACTTTTGATCAGTTGAAGGTGGTGATTTCTGCTTTGAAATTCAAATTAGCTAATTGGTGAAAAGTAATATCTTAAACATTGAGTAAGCTATAATGGGAAAATCATTATATTGTTTCCTTTTAAAAGAAGTCTTTAGCTTGTTAGGAGATGACAAAGCAAATTTGTGTTGTGACTGAAGTAACTGGGAAAAATTCAGTTGTGTTGGTGACGTTATAGGCATGGGAGGGAGTAAGAAGGGGAGAGCAGCATCCCTGAAATCTCTGTTATAATCCTGAAGAAAATAACACAAAAAGCAATGAGGTTCAGGAAGACTTGGTCCTACTGCTTTGTACTTAATACATTTCTGGTAGGGAGTCAGTCAGTTGGTACCTACAGGAAGGACCTGATAGACGAAGATAGTCTATTTTTTCAGTAAATCTCCAAAGAGCTGCCTAATATTATGTGTGTACCACTTCCATTCTAGAACTCCGAATACAAGAGATGGTATCCATGGGAATAGGCAATAAACCTTTCATGGATATCAAACCCAGCGAAGCAGCCATAAGCGACCGAGCAATTGACTACATCATGAAGGGAACAGGTATGATGTATATTATCCATGCCATACAGACGCTTTGTTTTTCTGCATCTGGATCTGATCAGAAGACAACTTTGAATAATGATTTCATATCCTTTCTTTCTTTTCCAAGAAAGTTGAGAATAGGGTCTGTCACTGCATTTCTTCCTCTCTTGTCAGAAGAGCAGCAAGATAGTCCTGGAACTGAGGAGAATTTATCCCAGCTTATTAAGATTGGTTTGAGCAGTAGGTGATATTTGGTCAAATGTAATTCTCAGTGTTGCTCCTGATCTTGTTTTCAATATAGCACTCTCCCCATTTTTTCCATAATGATCAAAATGTCTTGTTTTTACAGAGTCTAGATCTCGAGCATCAATAGCAGTGTCCTCATTTGACCATTCCACACCATTCAAGAGACCACATTCTACTATCTCTAGTAGCAGCACATCATCTTCCGGCAGCCAGTCATCATCATCTATTCTAGGTTCACTGAACCTGCATATCTGCTCCAGCCCATCTCATTCAGGCTTGCTAGGGCTACCCTTCTACCACTGGTCATATGATATTAGAAGCTGCATTGAGGAAGATGAACTGGAGCAGGAAACGGGAAGCCAGCCTTCAATGAGTGAGTGGATTTCAGCATTTTGCTGAAGAGGATATTTTTCACATGGTCTGTGGTTCAGATTGCTGCATATCTGTCAGGGGACGCATTTGGAGATACCAGTAGCCCATGTATTAATGAATTGTGATTTCTGTCTTTAAGTTATTTCATTGCTCCAATTAACTATATATCAGGCAGTAGTAGCAACAAAGACAGCTCCTGGTGCACTCCAGAGGCATCACTTATTCAGACACAGGCAGAGTTGGTGACGTGATCCTCATGTCACTCCTGAGGCGCCATGTCGCTCCTGCCTTTAAGAACCATCACAATCCTCCATATTTGGCTTTTGCCAAATATGCAAATATGTTACGGTACATGCACCGTAACAACGTTTCATCAGTGTTCTGTGGTATTAAATGGGTAGATCATGCAAGTCCAAGGACGTTGTGTTATTACCCTCCAGTTAGATTCTCTTTGGAGGTTTTATTTTCAGTTTGGGACAATAAGGATCTTAAGCTTTTGGAAACTGGGAATTTACTTTCCTCTGTTGTGTTGATGCAATTTGTGCTGATTTAAAATGCATTTCATTTTTGTGTGCTCTTTCCCCTGTTCATAGCCACAGAGAGTTCAGAATCATCTCAGTGCACCTCAGGTGAAAGCGTGAGTGGTTTTAGTACTTCTGCCCATTCTGAGTCCCATCTTCCTACAGAGATATTTTTGGATGAAGGTGTTTCAAGTGCTAGTTCCAAATACTCCTCACAGTGCATGTCTCCTGTTCTCCCAGAGAAGAGTCTCAGATCGAAGTACAACAGCCAGTATGTTACAGCTGTAAGTACTGTGTTGCTGGCAAAAAGCCAGTCATTCTGTCTTAGAATATCTATGTCATCTTAGAAGAGCATGCCAGTATTAAACTAATGCCCAGATCTCTTGAAAGTCCAGATCCTGGCGATGTCACGCTACTCTCCATAGGACGCTAAACTAAATAATCGATTGCGTATCTGTAGTGTTTTGATTTCTTTTGTGCATCAAAATTGCCATGTTTTGCTTTGTGTAGCAATGGTGACGTAATTCGGCATAAGTAAAGAGCTGCTTATAAGAATGACATGAAATGATGTGATATCATGGACTGTACCCACTCTCCAATATAAAGCAGAGCAGGGCGTTTTTTACCTGTGTTGTGATGCATGTGTATTAGGTATGTACAGGCTTTGGCTTTTTAGCGACTTATTTTGTAAGTTATTTTATAGCTTTTTTTGATGCTTCCACTGTTGATAGTGTTAAAGCCCCTCTTTTAGAGTCATTTTTGGAGAAATTGGAAATTTTAATCCCGCTGAGACAGTTGTCAAATTATTTTTTTTCTGTCTAACTAAATTTACTTAAAATAATTTACTGATATAAATTTCTGCCTTCAGTTATCTTTGTGCTCTGAGTGACTTGCTTGAGTACAAGGTACGTGCTTGAATAACAAAACAGAATATATCTTACATTAATTGATGGTGTAATTCATTACATGAGTGTCAACATTTATCTTTTAAGGTTATTTTGTTGGCCCTATTCTGCCACCCTGTGCTCCTTTTTTCTGGGAATGGTCATATACTTGTTTCAGTCAGATTTCTCATGACAAAAGTGCATGGCCAGTGTGAGGGTGGCAGAGTCTGCCCTCATGAGTTTGGTTTAAACGGTTGAGACAGCATAACAGGAATAAAGCTGATGCTGGTGCTGATTGTAATCTAGCAGAGGTGTTGAGATAGCGCATCTCCTGGCTAAAATGAAGTTGTTTGACAGCAATGCACCTGTGTCCTACTGGACAGACTTTTCAAAGAAGGAGAATTTATGAAAGTGTCCAATTGCAAGAGATGTGAATACGCAGGAGCACATGAATACACAGAACAGCAGTTCTGATAAAAACTCTGAATGCCAAATGGACAGTCACTTCTTAACAGCTGCTGCAGCCTGTCATCAGAAACAGAGCAGTGCCGTGTTTATTCTCTGTCCCACCAGCTCCTCCTAGAAACTGCAACTTGAGCCAAGGCATTTCTGCCTGTGGAGCTACGTGTACAATATCTGGACCACTGGTACATTTATAGTAACAAAAGAGAGCAAAATGGGACACTGTCCAATGGGATGTGCACCCAGAAGGGTCAAAGCTTAAATGTTGTTTGGTTACAAGGAGATTCTCAGTTAATCAGAACACAACAAACGCTCCAATGGTAGTGTTAAGTACTCGGGATTTTAACAAGGAAGTCGAAGGTTGAATGCTGCTAAAATGGGTGCTAGTCAGTCAGAGCAATTAACCTCTTCAAGTTAATTCCCTTCTGCGTGAGAAGTAAGGCACAGGCCTATTTAGCCTGTAATAAAAATCTGTGTTATCGCAAGAGCTTTGGTGGCAGTATAATCCCATTTTATATTCCCGTAGTGGGTCCCCTGAGGCTTGCAAGTCTCTGTGACGATAAATAAAGTATATGATGTGATAATAGAATACGCCTCCTGGATCCTACAGGCACATGAATTTACAGACAAAATTGACATCAGCCCTCTAACTGTGGTTTGATGCAACTGTGTATACTAGCATTTCTGTGCATGTGTCTGGTTAGATAGCCAGAAATACAGTCCTGCCAGCCTCAGTATTGGAATTTCTGAATAACTGAGCGCACTGCCACCACAAAATACATGTTTACATGCATGCAAATGTGACTCTGGCCAAGGTCTGCAAATTCATTTCTAAACCATTCAAGGAAGTAGGCAAAGTAAAAGAAATCATCACTGTTACAAAGAATAATAATATTTTATAAGGAAATAGAAAGACACACTGTTAAGTCAGATTCTTTTGAATAGTCGTAAGCGTAGGTAGAATAGTACTACTGTTCCCAGCTTGTAAGATTTGTTTTCTACTGGAAACTTCAGTAGATCTCTGTTGCACATACCTGGCAGTAAAAGGACTGGAGCCCTTCGTTTTAGATTAGACCAAGACTAACCTGCCAGCCGACATGGATCCAAGGCAGAGATGCTCTCTTCAGGTAGTCCTCTGTGCTGCCTGTACCCAGCGATTGCTCTGTGGGATCCTTCTTCATTCCAGGCATCAGCAGTGACCCATGCAAACTAACTTTCCTCGCCAGCCAGCCAGCCAGCAGTGAAACCACGATCACGGCATTTGAGTTACTGCAGCCAAAGCGTGGCATGCACTGCATGTGTTAGTTCACAGCAGTCCTGCAAGTTTGGAGCGGCAGCAGTGTGGAGCTTGGTGTTGACTTCTATACACGCTGAGGTTTATGTGTTTCCTCAAAGTGCCTCTGCTTTTTGGCCGAGATGTTTTTATCTCTCTGCTTCTCCTACTATGTCAAAAGAGCACATTTCTGGAAATTGGGAAATTTCCTGGTCAAGAGACTTGCTGTCCTGACACACCAATTACACTCCTCCTGTGGCACCAGAGGACACCACAGCCCTGTGGCCAACAGGAAGGGAGTGCTTAGAAATGCATTTGTAACCACTCCATGAGCAAGGGAAGGTTATATGATAAATCCCTGTGCCAAAGAAGATTCGTGTAAGCTTTTTCTACATTCATGTGCTCAGGTCATTCCCACAAAGCAGTAATGTTGCCTTTAAGTATATTTCCCTCCCTTTTCCATCAGAACAAAGCCTCTCACCCACTGCGTATCTCAGCAGTAGTTTGACTGAAGGCATAGGTGACTAAGTAACTGTTCTTCTCTGCTGGAATGATGGAGGAATTGTAATAGTAAGAAAAAGTCTGCTGGCTGCCATGTTAATTTTAAAATAGCCGAATAAATTGTGGCATGGGAGAATTTCCTAAAGTTGGCATGTATACTTCTACAATATTGGAAAAGTATTTTAAACATTAGCTGGGTCGTCTCTGTAAAACTTTTGGTAAAGTGTAGTCTGGTGGAAAGCTTGTGTATACCTCCTCCTTGTTAAGTCACTTATTTCACTGAATGCCCCGTATTTCTCAGGCCGCTCTCACTCTCACACAGCAGCTTGTTTAAGGAGCTGCTTCTAAGAATGACATGAAATGATGCGATATCATGGATTATTATGCCCCCTCTCTGATACAAAGCAGAGCAGGGCATTTTTGCCCGTCTTCTGTTGTGCACATATAGTAGTTGTGTACAGACAGATCTTGCAAGGACTTCATTTTAGGCAAAGGTGTTTCTACTGAAGGGATAATCAAACAAACAGAAAAAGTGTAAGTGCACTTCTGACCTGATACCCTGTGGGACTGGATCAGACTGTTGAAGCTGTGAAAGGTTGCCAGGCTCTGAGGGTGTGGAATGCTGAGGGGTCCTACCCCCTCTGCCTCTGCTCTGCTGCATCTCTCCTGCTTCCTAGGCCCATCAGCAACCCTTCTGTCATCTCTGCACTACCTACAGATAGCATCAAAAGCAGCTGTTCAGTTGTGGGAGTTGGCATAGAATTAGGGATAAGATGCCTCCATCGTTCTGATTGTAGGGCCCCACCAGTGACAACGCTAGGCTATATCTCGTGTAGGATGGGCTACAACCACTATCTGTGTCTATGCAAAGATAGTAGCCAGCTGAGAGAGACACTTTATGGCATTTTCTTGCGTAGCCAGAGAAATGTAATGATCATTTAAGGCTTAAGCCGTTTTAGAGTATTAAGAAATTTAAACTGAGCTGGAAAGTACCCTCACCCGAAACATAAATTGTGGCCAAAACCAAAAAAGGGCTCTCAAATGGAACTATTTTAAAATACTTTTTGTGGGAATTTTAGAACACTGTCATGCCATTTTGCTCAACATACTTATTTGAATGTTTCCTTCCCGAGAACCACATAATCTTATTTGAAAGTTGACTTTCCGACAAGTGAGAAAACTCTGTAATTACTAAAATGAATTTTGATGGTCATTTCTGCAACATCTCAAATAAAATATAGATGATAAGCGTCAAGGCAAATTTTCCAGAAAATGTTGATAGCATCAGAGGTTTTTGGGCAGGAAAAACTCCAAAAATATCATCAGTTCTGTCAAGCCTTCCTTCCCCTAAATTCTCTGCAGAGCAGTTGATCTCAGCATCTTCTGTCATGACTCTAGAATGAACTTTGTTCATTACATTTGTTAAATAGTTTTATAATGCTTTCTTCTCCTCCTTTCATTCTGAATAGATTAGCCCTTTTTGTTCTTTTCCCTCAACTACGCCCGAGCTGCACCTTTAAACCCGAACCTCTGAATTCTTCTTTTACATGACTATGTCAAAGAATGTTGAATATAAACAGTATAAAATTGCAAGATTTATGCAAAAGTAATTGCCCGTATTCTCTCCTGCCCCCATCTCGCATTGATCTCACTTGCTTCCATAGCAACTGAGAGATGTGTTTGTTCTGTATTGGACTGTAAAAGTGAAATTCTTCATAGAACTCTCTTCAGAGTTGAATCCATTTCAACGAGAGTTTCTTGATACATTACTCAAGGTAATTTGAAAACCACCTGTTTTATCATGAAATACTTTCATTTTAAGTTCACTGGTTTTATAGGTTGAAAGCCTATTAAAATCCACTTGTTGAACACTTTTTACTCTGTTATGATGTATTCTGTAGTAACTGAAAAATTGTTCGGTTCTGTTAAAATGAATTTAATATTTATTTGTCACATTTGCGCACAAAAACAATACACCTTGATTGCTAGATAATCGTGAACGCTAGTTTTAGTTAAAGTCTTTTAAATGCTTTGTCATGTATTTTTCAATAATAAATAAGACACTAAATGTTTAATATAATAATTGTTTTGACAGCTCTGATTCACATGACAATGAAGACTTTTTTCAGGCGGTGCTGACCCTACTTTTCCAGATAATCCCACCTCTGCTTTGCTGTGAAAAAGCCCTGCCACACTTCATGGATTTAATTTTTTTTTTTTTTGAAGTGAATCCATTATGGAATATTTTATCAACAGCAAAAGAAAAATCCTAAATATTTTGAAATGACCAAAGAAGGGACATCTTTATTATTGTCTGTCATTCTGAGGAAGCTTTTTATTTTTGCAGAGGGTTTTTTTTTGTTTGTATCATCAGCTTAATTTTGCCTTCAAATTGATGAAAGGCATCACTGATTTCAGTTAAAAGACTATAAGATGAAATAGATAGAATTTCTCTAGGTATTAAGCATCTTTCCTGTGTTTTAACCTCCAGTTCATATATAGCAGATGATGGTGTAGATGTTACTGTATTTTGTTCAATTTTGTAAATGTTGAAAATGGCAATAAATAACTGATTCCTGTATAAAAAGAAAAATGTACAAATTGCTTGAAACTTCTGTAAATAGAGTTTTATTGCCTTTCAAAATTTAAATGGCCAGTTGTTAAGATATATGCACAATTTATAATCTACTTACCTAGTGTCTTCTAATCACTCTAAAAGTGCAAGATAAACTGCTGTAGTATAACCTGGATTTTTATTAGAGTAAGGTAACATTTATAGAGGTAACAATTTGAAATAAGTATTTGTAACTCTTCTTATGTATTAAAACATGATTGCGTGTTTGCTTGGGAAGATGGTTTGACTTTTTACTTCAAACTTTTTCATAATTCTTTTTTCAAAGAAACAATAAAGGAAATGCTTCTTACTGTGTTGCACTCGTTATTACTGTCTGCAACTTCATTTTTCAACTCAGCATGGTGCTGTGAGACCCTGATGCATTTCTCAGCAGGAGTTTAATCTTCCGTGTTGACGGATCCAGCAATAAGGTGAGGCATGACGCAGAGCTCAAGTCAGTCAATCTGACGGGACCTGCTGTGTGTATGAACACGGTCAGCTCCGGACAGAGGCAGTTTGTCCAGCCCGGCTGATGATCCCAGAATCCTTGTCCCAGTGGCTGCTGGGAGGTGGGAGGCCTGAAAGAGAAGAAGAGGTGAACGTCTACAGCGGGCGGAAGGTGAACAGGACAGAGAAGGAATGGAGGATGTGAGTTGGGACTACAAAAACTTAGAAGCTATTTAACATTATTTTTGAGTCTTTCTCTGAACGATGGAGAAAAAAGAAGGATGTTTATAGAGTTGTCTTGCCAGTGTTCAGTCGACAGACAATGGAAGATAGGCCAATAGATATACCAAAATGCCAAAGTAAGGCTGTCTGTTCCAAGTAACTCCCAAGTTACGCTCATCTCTGTCCCACTGGTTGAATGGCCCAGCAGAAGACAGGGGACAACGAAACCCCAACGGAGTTGCCCCACATTGCTTCCCTTGACGGGGAAGTGCCAGGCTGAAGGAAAGCAGCCTAGTTTGCTTTTGCTACAGCTGGGTGAGAGAGGTCTTTCTCTTGGCCCAGAAAGATGTTAGATTTCAAATACTTTCCCCGTTCTGTGTCACAATGAAAACATGATTTCTCAAGTAGCAGTGGAGGAAGGGCCAGCTGCTCCTTGAGACATGGCTCAGCAATAGGGTGCTTGCTTGGAAACTGAGAAAGCTGAGTCTCCCATCACAGACCGGTGCCCTGGCCACCAAGGCTCTGAGCAGCTCTCAAGTCTTTTGTCTTTCCCACTGGAGCCACTGTGCTCAACCGTCCCTTACTGAGTAGGAAGGGCAAAATGGAGAGAGATTTGTAGCTCCATGCCTGTTGAACGTCAGTCTCTCTTTGTGATTATGGTTTCAATGAGAAGTTCTATGCTAAATCTGAGAAATCTTTCCCATTGAAAGCCATATGTGACTCTCCAGGAAATAGTTTTGTTTGGTTCATCTCAGCAAATCCTATTTCATGAAAGAAAGTGGAATACAAATCATGTTGCTTAAGTTTTAAGTTGGAACCCTGAATGCTTTTTTGTACGGCATAAGTCAGATAGATAGATACAAAAATATTCTCCTATGTGTGTGCTGCCCTGGTCTCACTATTCCTGATGGGCGGTGAGCTGTCCTCAGCTAAGTTAGCTTTGTTTTAAGTATAAAGGTTTACATAAGTAAGTGCTCCCTAGATTAAAGCGCTCATACAAGTGACTGCTGCAGAATCACTGCCTAGCACCAAAATAGAAAGCAGAGGCTCAGCATGTGACTGTGTTTTACCTTCCCAAAGCAACTGCCCTTAGTAACAAACAGCAGCTGCAGATAAAAATAGAAGGTGATACGCAGCTAGGATCTTTAGTTAAATCCAGAAGTCTGCCTCCATGACAGCAAGGAGTCCAAAGCAACAATGAAGTCGCTCCGATTCATTAGTGCTGAAGCGTTCGTGTCAAACGCAGAGCTTGCTAGGAGGAGTCTCGGCAGTGTTGCCCATAATCTTTTTCCTCTTCTTTTCAAAGCCAGCTATTTACTGGAGCAAGGGGAAGTGATTCATGACTTGGTAGAGAACTGGCCACTTGTTGACTTTAACATGGGAAAACTTTTGGGAAAAACCGTTGACTACCAGGAAGACCTGAGCCATAGAACGTGCTCGGTGTGCATGGAAAGCTGTCTGACAGGCCTTAGAGACTATGTGCTGAATCATCCTTCTCCCTATATGAAACGGTTGAAAGTGGTGGACCTGACGGGTATAAAAGATGTTGAAGTTCAGTTCTGTGAGTGCAAGAAGCCAATGGGCAGGTGGGCCAGGACACAGCTGCTTGCTAAGCTCTGTTTAGAACTGCTGGTCCACCTGCAACCAATGCAGTGTAATGCGAGCGTCTCGGAAATCAGTATTGATGTGCTAATTGACTTGTTTGTTACAGAGCGGAACTATGAGCTGGTAGTGCAGGCCCTACTAAGGAAGTGCTCTTGTCCACTGAAGATCCACTGTGTGGCCTTCAGAGCTGACAACCTGGCTTTGCAGAAGTTTTTCTATGTCATCAAGCTCACAGATCCCTCTTTGCTGCGCAAGCTGGAAGTGGTTCACAATGTTCGCTTGGAAATGGAGCACTTGGAAATACTCTTCAACAGTATCCGCTTCCCTCTGCTGATGTCCTTGACCTTGCCAGCACGAACATTCAATGTGCGAAGGCTCACAGCTGCAGATGAACTGATGCTTACTGCCATTGGAGAAAAGATGAGTGAAATGACACAACTGACCGAATTGAGTATGGCATTTTCCATACTCACTGGAAGAATACGGAAACTGCTCAGGTAATTTGGTCTACCTGCTTTCAGCCAGACTGTAAAGGAAAAACCCTTAGTGTCATCAACAAGTTAAGAACCCCTAAGGTTAAGGGAAGTGTATCTCTCCATTGGAGAATGCTCATGAAACGAAGAGGCAGCAAGCTAGGAAAGAGCATTTGTTAGGGAGAATTGGAAGCCAAAGTATGTCTAATGCACATAAAAGACTTGAACGTTCATGTTAGTCTCCCAGAGGCTTGTTTGATGAGTATGATGCAAATATGCTCTCAGCTACTGCACGAGAGGGGTACACCCAGACATCTTTGATTTGCCACATTCTTGAGCTTATAGCTCAGTCAGCTGGGCCTGGCCTTTTGTGCAAGTCCTGAGTCATAGTCCAGGTGGTGCTTCTGGGTCGCTAGTGAATGTTTTCATTGTTAGGCCCTACCTTTCGCAAAACATAGTAAATATTAAGATTCTATAGATACTGTATTTTCAAATGGGCAGGAGGATTATTAGACTTTGATTTGAGACTTTAGCTTCAGCAGTTTGTTGTGTCTATCTCAAGGCAAGAGAGATCTGATGCTTTTGTTATTTATTTGTTTATTAATTGAGTTAACCTATGAATATTCATGGTGAATATCTGGAAGAATTTGTGCATTCTCAAAGGGATAACAAGCAACTAGTGAAATGTTCATGTTTGGACTGAAAAGAGAAGTTCACTGTATGCTTTACAGAGCATCTAAAACAAAGACCAAAAAAAAGTTTCACCAAGAGGAATCATCTTGGTCTAAAATTGCTCCTGTGCAAAGAGACATTTCATTTAAATATTACAAATGGCACACTGCTTATATTGATGCAAATAAACTATGAGATTCTAACCTTGATCCAGCTACGGGCTCTCCCTGAGCTTCAGTACGTATTAAAGGAATCACTTTTGCTTTTTAATCTGTCAGCACTAGTTAATACTAAACTAGAATATTTGCATGTAATCTCAGGTATACTTCTTCCAACCTTTTTCTTCAGCAGCAGATCTCTCTGCAAAACAGTGCAACTTGTAAAACTCTTGGGCATTTAAAAACATACAGTAGAAGCAAAACTAGGAACAAAAGTTTATGTTTTGTTCGTTTGTTTAGAATAATGATTGGCTTTTATCTTGACATGAGTCCCTTTCTTTGATGGGAATGATCAAAATCTATGGAATTATGTCAGCTTTTGAAAAGACGAAGTCACCAATGTTTTCATGGTAGTAATGATCTGCTACTAGTTCAGCAAGTAATGGAAACATGACAACATGTTAACAATAACAAAATGCACATATAGAATGTTATCAAATGAACCCTGTGAAAACAACACTGATGGAGTCATGGAAGGAAGTAGCTAATCCAGAGAACTGATTCCAAGAGCAAAATATACATGTCATTGTTTGCACATGCTTCTGTTCCTCAAAAGAATAGAAGAAATAATCAATGTGGCAGATGGCTGCATTCATAATGTGAGTAGTTGTATGAAATTGTGTGAACGTAGTTTTCCAATGCTTTATGCTAGAAAAATTGTTTCTTTTTAAATCTGCAGTCCACTGAAAACCCCACTGAAGGTGCTGGATGTTTCTAACTGCTCACTGAATCATGCTGATATGGCCTATTTAGCTAACAGCCTCCATTCGAATCACTTAGAAGTCCTGGACCTGAGTGGGCACAATATTCCTGACCTTTACCCATCGACGTTCTTCAAGCTTCTCAGCCATTCCTCTTCAGTGCTCAGGAGTCTCACCTTGGAGGAGTGTAACATCCAAGACACTCATGTCAACATGTTGATTTTAGCCTTAAGTCCTTGTCAGAAACTGCAGGAGTTTAAATTTCTTGGAAACCCCCTGTCATCCGAAGCACTTAAACACCTTTTCCTGTTTTTCTGTGAGCTGCCAATGCTGAAGAATGTGGAGTTCCCAGTTCCAAGGGACTGCTATCCTGTTGGCATCACCTACCCAATTGACGATGCCAATCTCTGCAGTTTTGATCACCAGAAATATGAAAGTGTAGCAGAGGAGCTTAAACTCATCTTACTACAAGCAAACAGGGAGGGCGTGAAGGCTTCAACTCCACTCTTTGGCAGTTACGACGCAGCTGTTGAGGAGACAAACAACGAACTGGGCGCTTACTTGATGAAGTCCTTCAAAGAGACTTTAGAAAAGTTCACTAACTCTCTTAAAGAAATGAGTTGAAGCATAGTGGTGATAAGATGACCTGCTAAATCAGAACCTAATTTAGTCTTTAAGAAAACTCTACCTGCATTGATCAGTTTAGTTTAGTCTTTAATTTCTGGGCTCAATTAACTTCTATTTGAATAGCCTCAGATTATCATCTGAGGTATTTTAACTATACTGTCTCTGTTGCATACCACTTACATAAGCATGACTTGGTCTCAAAAGAGAAGAGGGTTTTTAATAGCTTATTATTTTACACAAAAGCACTTTTTCCCCCCCTCCCCTCAGTAAAACAAGATGGGGCCGAGCTTGGCTGATTTGTTTTCCTGCAGTTTCCTCTGAATCTGGCCGTAAGGCTTGCAGCCCTGCAGGATGTACAAAAGACTGTGGCCCTCTTCAGCCGTGACGTCGTACACTGATTTTTGTTGCTTCACCCTTCTACAGTCTGATACGTTCCCAATAGTGGGTGATTTCTCACAGCCTCCATGTCCCTTTACCTCTCTTTCTTCTGCAGAGATGAGCATGATAAGCCTATTTTTGCATGGGGAATTACAGAGTTTGTCTAATGCATTGCAGTGACAAGGCATAAAGCAAACCAAACAGTTGGCTGACAGAAGGGGGAGGGACACACACAGCTAATTTCAAAATTGTAGAGAAGGAGGAGGCTGGTTGTGCAATGATTAGTAGTTCAGCTGCATAAAATGCTGCCCTTCGTCTAGCAGGACTGAATATTGTCGTGCTACAGAATTGCAACCAGTGCCAGGAGGAATCACGTTTATTTGGCAGGCCCCAGATGAGTGAAAATAGCAGTTAGAGCCCCAGATTCCCACACACTGTGCTGTAGGGTGTGCAAGGTGGCCAATGGGGCCACGAAACAAATCCAGCGGGACACCTGAGGGGGGACCATTGTGAGGGAAAAGAGGAGACTCCGTGGGTGGTGGCAGCTGTTGTAGTGGTTTCTACTCGGCTGCTCCCTTGTTCACACTGAGGAAATGCCAAGACAAGTATGTTAGCAAATCTTAGCTATCACCACCTGATTTAACAGCTGACAGCCTGTCAACCCTACCAGAGCCCAAATTGCTCTGAAACACAACTAGATTCTTGGTTAGCTTCTAAGAGAGCCCCCAAAAAAAGAGCGTAGGATGCTTGGGTTCACACCGAGCACTCTGCTATTAAATAATTATATTATTTTAGCAGTTCATAAAGACTTGATTAAGCAGCACTGAAAGTGAATGCTGCTGCTGGAGCTGAGGTATCATTGCAGCCTGAGAGAGAGTTGTTGGGATAACCAAGGCAGCCAACTTGAAATAATACTTCATCTCATCATCTGAGGGTAAGGCAGACACTTTCCTCATGTAGACAGTGCTGGTTTGTGGACTTTGCTATTTATCCACAAAAGAATATGCAAATAGCTACTAACCTATTTATGGAAAAAAAAAAAAAAAGAATGGAGTGAAAACTGTGCAGTAGTTGTAGGTTTCGCAGTGTGCATTTATCTGAATTTTGATGTCTTTTTTGCTTATGTTGTTCCTTTAAATACATTTGATTGATTGATTGAAATTTAACTGATAGAAAAATTGAAAGTACACCACCCAATTATGTTTACAGAGCACTACAGAAAAAGCTAAAAGAAATTGAAGTAGCCAAGCCAACCATTTGTCATTTAGAAAATGCCAGAACTGGGCTCCGTATGGTCTTGCCTCTGTTTGCCCGTGGAGGTCTGCGTGCTCCCCTGTCCTTGCCTGCTCTTCACCCTCCCTGCCCCTCCCTCTGGCCTTGTCATTCTTGCCATCCCAGACTTGACCCATGACTTCGCCACCAGACTTAGGTGGTTTGAATTGTGCTAGGCCAAGGAGCTACTGCTTTGGGGTGAGGGGTGGCATTTCCTAGTGTGGCGTGAGACCGCTCTGTGCAGTTGCTGCAAATCCACATGCAGTGATTCCTCCACCCTGGCAGCAGGACCAGCCTCCATCTGGCCATGTGTTGGGAGGTGAAGTCGATCCCTGCCTCTTCTGGTATACCGTAGATAAAACAGCCTGTTCTCGGTTGCCTCCAGTTTGGAACTACTTAGCTGCCTAAAGAATAGTGCTACCTCTGCAGGTAATTGTCTGCCTTCTCCTTGCCTAAAGCCAGTCCTGGTCCACCACTGTTTTATTTCCTCCTTCTGCTTCTGGCTAACTCTTGCCTGTCTTCCATTTCTAGTGATACGCCCACACACTCCCATACAGCTCTCCGGATCAGGGGGAGAAGTACATACAGGCAGTATTCCTGCCCTCACTCCTAGCGTCCAGCGCCACAGCAAGGATGAGCGGCCCCTCTGTCTATTAATTCATCTCTTCCCTTAGAGGCTGGAGGAAGGAGCGGAAGGAACACACACACGAGTTTCATTGCAGAAATTGTGCACTTGCCTCCCTCCGCACAGGGCAGCGGGGAGTAGCTGTGACCAGTTGAAATACAGTTGGCACACACAGATTTGGTGTGCGTGGAGGATTTGGATACTGTTCCTGGGAAGGCCACTGCTTGGCAGCAGCACACAGACACTGTTGAATTTTTGTGATCTCCTGAAATACGTTCTGTTAGGATCAAAGTAGAAAGCTTTATGGAGTACAACATGTTAAAATTGTATAGTATGAAGTACAGTAGTTACTAACATGCATAATGTGTATGCCAGTACTTTGAACAGTATTGCATCCAAAAGGCAGAACTAAAACAAAACATTGTAGATATGCACCAACAGTATTCTATTGACCAAAAAACTATATTTACCTCAGAACTTTTGTAGAGCAAATGTCATATTTGGGAGGAATTTGTACCCTTTTGGAATGGAACGGAATCAGTTCCCCCTCCCCCTTTTAAATCACAGAATTTCCACTTCAGAGATGATAAGTTGTTCCACGGTCTGAAGAACTTCAGACCAGCTATATCCAGCTACCTCTGTCAGGCAAAAACATTAATGCTGCAATTGCCTGAGCATTTAATGTTAAGTTGTACCTTGCAAATGCAGCGAGGTGCAATTACCATTGCCAGCTCTGGCTATTTAATATCATGGCTCAGGACTCAAAATGCTGTAAGATTTTAAAAGTAAATCTAACTCTATTTTCTTTATTTCCATGCTGGTATGCATATGTTCATGGAATGAGAAATTCTCATTTTTGAGAATTCTCCTTAAACACAAAGGTCACTAAGGAAAGAGGATCAATTCCTTTTGCACAAAAGCTAAAAGTTTCATGTTTTCAAAAGATGAGTGGTCTTAGGCAATAACATAATGCAGTGCAGGTTCAGTGTCTCACTAACTTTCCAATTATTTATGCTCAAAGATACCTTTTCTAAGATTTCTAAAATGCAGCCAACCATTAGTTTCAAGTGCTTTAAACAAATACCAATAAACATTAAGGAAGGGGATAAAATACATGGATATAGTATATCAGCAGTTCCTAAAAGGCAGGATGTCCAATTGCCATCCTTTTTCTTTTGACAAGAGTAGTAAAAGAAGTCAATTGTTACAAAGATCCTTCCCCTATGTGCAACAGAGCTTGAAGATGCTCTTCATGGCTAGACAGCCACACACCACTATCTATCAAGGCTAACATTTTGTTAAAAGGGAGCTGCTTAGCAATTCAGTGCAAAGCACTTTTTTCCCCATAAGCATTAATGTAGTCATGGGGTGGAGGAAGAATGCAAAGACAGACTTAAACACAGATGGTCTGAGACCGTATGGCATGGAAGATTGAGCAGCAGGTGCAGCACTGTCACCTGGAGGAAGTGCTGTCTTTTTGGAATGGGTAATTGTCCTGAAAGATCTTCACTGCTTCATCTATGAAAGTGAAGGCAGTCTTTTTCCTGTGACCTCTTTCTGAAAGGTCACATTGTTGTCATCATCGTCAGCCTCTTCCTGAGATGAATCAAGGTCAAAAAAAGGCAAAGGATGGAAGAACAGGGTAATAACGGTAACCAGCAGAGCTGGGTTTTAAACGATCAGCAAAATCCTGAAACAATGGATAGAGATGTAACAGATTATCGATAGGGTATTGCCATACCACCAGCTCTGAAGTACTGTCATCTTCCCCTCTGTAATCCCAAGGGCTATGGTACTTACTTACATTTGGCTTTGCCTCTTTATCTGAGATTACAGTTCCAGCTGTGTACTTTTCTGGTTAGTGCAACCTTTTTAAAAAGGCCCTGCTCCATAGGAAAAAAAAAAAAAAAAAACCATTCATCATTTTCTGTGGAAAAAAAAAAAAAAGGAAGAGCTGAGAACCTTAGCATGGCCCTTTCTGGAAAGCCTTCCTTTGCCATTATACATTATCAAGCCTTGGTGAGAAGCATCTCTGCAGATAGTGTAACCGTGCAAGCCAGAACAAGTAGGAATGAGGGGGAGGGTACTGGTGTGGCAATGCAAGTAACGGTCTCTTTAGATGAGACCATAAATGTTAGAAAGCTATAAATTTTGGAACTGAAGCTGCTCACTAGAGAGAATACTTCATAAGCAAAAGTTCCTCCCTTGCCTGCTTTGGAACCTGAGAGTTGTCTCCTCCTAGGTGAGACCCAGAAGTTCACCCTCTGGCCATCCTCTGTAGCCTGAAGGAAATGAGGAAGGGTCTCAGCACGTCTCTAGGGTGCAGATGATCTTCTCTTAGACAGAGGACCCAGCTGGGCTGAGGCTATTGGAAGGGTGGCAGACTGCTACCTAGCAGAGAAACAACCTCCCTCAGTCTGACATGGCCTACAGCAGCGCGAGAGGCTTACTGAGTTCGGACGTACGGGCATATGTTGTGGACTGCAGTGTGAGGAAGGAAGCCTGCTTCTGTTCTGAGAGTTTCAGGAGAAGGAGAAAGTGGCCTGAAAGGTGAAACAGGATGCTCACTGCAAAGAGGCAGCAAGCATGGAAAAAGCAGATGGATTGTGGCAGAAGGAAGAAGATGGAAGGAAATGTGGGGAGGGGGATGAGATAACCTCCTTCCTGTTGATTACTCCTTTAAGGCGAACCAGCAGAAATTGTTGGCCTGAGAAGGGGAGACACATCGCTTCTTTTGGTATCACAGAATTACAGAAAGATGTAATTTTGGAGATGACATCTGGAGGTCTCTTGTCAAACCTCCTGCTCAAAGTACAACCAACTTCCAAGTTTGAGCGGCTTGCTCAGGGCCTTGACTTCCGCAAGGCTTTGGACACTCTCTCCCATCACATCCTCATAGGTACACTCAGGAAGCGTGGCTTGGATGAGTGGACGGTGAGGGGGATTGAGAACTGGCTGGACGGCAGAGCTCAGAGGGTTGTGGTCAGTGGTGCAGAGTCTAGTTGGGGGCCTGTAGCTAGCGGTGTCCCCCAGGGGTCAGTCCTGGCTCCAGTCGTGTGGAACGTATTCATCAATGACCTGGATGAAGGGGCAGAAGGCACTCTCAGCAAGTTTGCTGATGGTCCTAAACTGCGGGGAGCGGCTGACACACCAGAAGGCTGTGCTGCCATTCCGAGGGAGCTGGGCAGGCTGGAGAGCTGGGCGGAGAGGAACCTCCTGAAGTTCAACAAAGGGAAGTACACTGTCCAGCACCTGGGGAGGAATAACCCCCATGCAGCAGTACAGGCTGGGGGCTGACCTGCTGGGAAGCAGCTGCACAGAGGAGGACCCGGGAGTGCTGGTGGACAACAAGTTGAGCGTGAGCCAGCAATAGAGCCTTGTGGCCGAGAAGGCCAATGGTGTCCTGGGCTGCATGAGGAAGAGTGTTGCCAGCAGGTGGAGGGAGGTGATCCTGCCCGTCTCCTCAGCCCTGGGGAGGCCTCCCCTGGCCTACTGCGTCCAATTGTGGGCTCCCCAGGACAAGAGAGACATGGCACTCCTGGAGAGAGCCCAGCGGAGGGCTACAAAGGTGATGAGGGGCCGGAGCATCTCTCCTGTGGGGAAAGGCTGAGGGAGCTGGGCCTGTTCAGCCTGGAGGAGAGATGACTGAGAGGGGACTCTGATTACTGTAGACAAATATCTGAAGGGAGGGTGTCAAGAGGATGGGGCCAGACTCTTCTCCGTGGTGCCCAGCAGCAGGACAAGAGGCAACGGGCACAAACTGAAGCACAGGCAGTTCCCTCTGAACATGAGGAAAAACTTCTTCGCTGTGAGGGTGACTGAGCCCTGGAGCAGGTTGCCCAGAGAGGC